GGACTTTAGACACAGAGAGGGAGAAGGGGCTGTGTGCTGATGACCGGGGCAGGCTTGCAGTGTATACCCTTTGGTTGGCTGATGATGCATGGAGGGGATTGTAACCATAACAATGAAATGATATACTATAGGATGGATGTAAAACTAATGTTCTCCCAGGTAAACTATCACATAATTCACAATAAAATATTAAAAATAAATAAATAAAAATCCATAGTCTGCATTCTCTGGCCCCATGGCCCCGAAAAAGAAAGAAAAAAGAACTGATTATATGAAATTAAATTGACAGCAGCAAGGCAAATATTAGATATAGTGCAGTGAGTTTATTTGAATGGGGAAGGAACCATCTGGAAAAGGAAGGTGAAAATGGTATAACTTGGAGAATGTAATCAGTATCACTGAATTGTACATCTAGATATTATTAAATTGGTGTATATTCTCCAGTGTATACTCCCAAGAACAACAAAAATAAAATCAATTAAAAAAAAAGAAGAAGAAACTAAAAATCTCCACTAATTCTACCACCTACATCTAGCAACTGTTTGTGGTGTATGTATGGTGATGGTGTGCTGTGAAATCGGTTCTGATTCATAGTGACCCTGCTTTAAGGTTTCCGAGGCTATAAATTTTTATGGGAGCTGAAAGTTTCATTTTTCTCCTGTGGAGTGACTGGTACATTTGAACAGCTTTCCTTTTGGTTAGTAGTCCAATGCGTAACCACTACGCTACCAGGGCGCCTCTGTATGTACGTATATAAGTATATATATCTCTGTTTTCTTCTGTAATGCATAAGGTTGGAGCCAATTTAGTGGCACTTATCCTTGTGCCACAAGGAGCTCTGGTAGCGTAGTGGTTACGAATCGGGCTACGAACCTTAAGGTCAGCGGTTCGAAACTACCAGCTGCTCCGCGGGAGAAAGATGAGGCTTTCTACTCCCGTAAAGATTTACACCCTCGGAAACCCTGCACAGGGTCGCTATGGGTCGGAACCGACTCGATGGCACTTAACAACAACAACAACATCCTTGTGCCACAAAAATTACTAAAGAGATCTTGCCATAAGATTGTTAGAAGGTGGTCTTCTATCCTTTGAGGTTTAATGGTTGAAATATTTCATGAGATGGTTATCCTAATTTCTTTTAGATAGAACTGCTTTTCACATTCCAGGAGTTAAATGTTTGTGAACCACAATGAAGAATTTCTCAGGCTTGATCTCAAAAAGCAGAAAATCTCAATGGTGTGGACATTTTTGAGGCTCTTGACAAAGCTGCCAGATTACAAAGAGGACAGGTATGGACCTGGGTCCCCACCCTCGCCACCCCTCGTGCACTCTTTCTAATCACAGCATCAAGGGCTGGGGTGTAGGAAATCGCTGATAGTGTTCTGGTGAAAAACATGAGGTCTGGAGTCAGAGCGGGTTGAAGGCTGTGGCCACCACTGTTAACTGCAATATTACCCTGACCTTGGCTTCCCCCTTTGCAAACAGGAACACCAACAGCACCTTACCCTATCAAACTGTGGATGCAAAGTCAGATGATATACAAAGAAGCATTTATAAATATGGACTGGTTGATAATCTCATCATTTGGGGGCAGAGGATACAACATGGGAAAGGTCTTGTGGTAGGAAGAAATAAGGGCATGGCCCAACAGGGTGAAGAGAAGGCTGGTGAGGCTGGGGCAGTGGGCACAAAGAGTCTGAAGCAGACAGGGGTTAGAGCGAAGGGCCTTGTAAGCAGAGTGAGGAGGCTGGTTTCATTTTATGGGCAAAGGTGAGTCACATGGAGTCACCATGAGTCAAAATTAGCTCAAAGGTTTGGTTTTGGTACTGGAGTGATGTGGCGAGGAGTAGGAAGGATCAATGTCATCAGATTTGGAATTTGTACTTATCACACCTGGTTTGTGAGGGAGTCCTGGGGTGGTCTGTGGGTTAATGCACTGAACTGCAAGGTCGGCTGTTCGAGCTCACCAGCTGCTTCTTGGAAACCCTATACAGGGTTGCTATGAGTCAGAACCGACTCAACGGCATTTAACAACAACAACTGGTGTGTGAGAGTGAAAGCCCGCAGGGAAGCAAGAGAGGAAGCAGGGAGGGTATGGCAGCCACTCAAGCAAAGATGATGTCTTGGGGCTCTCAGAGGTGTTGACAAGTTGGTGGGGTCAAGAGATAGTAAGGAGATAAAAAAGACAAGGTGTCAGGAACTGGGGTGGGAAAGGTGGTGTCAGAATGACAACAGAAGAGAACAAAACCAGGCCTGGGAGATCTCAGCATGGATGTCACTGAGACTCCAAAAGATATTCTATACAACACAGATGGATATACTGGGCTGGTCAAGAAGATAAGATGGACAAAAAAAGGACCCTGCAATAAAGCAGGAAGTCCTCAGGGTTTAAGGAGGTGGGTGATGGAAAGGGCTGGAACATCCAGAGAAGAGAGAGCTCACTTGCAGCTGGAGTGAGGGCCATCAGGGAAGGCTGCCTGGGGGAGGTGATAAGTCAGGAAGGATTTAGGTGTGTAGAACAAGGATGGGCATTTGAATGCTGGACATAGGCGAAGACGGAAAGGAGGCTATGATGAGTTAGCTGTTGGGGGCCTGTTACCATTCAGGATCTCAAACCTGCTTCGCTTCCCAGTTCCTCTCCCCAACTGAGGGCTCAGGCTGTGGACTCACAAGCAACTGCTTTTTCTGTGCATGCTCCTCCATCTTCTGTTTCATGCTCTCCTTCCGCTGCTGCCGGGGGAGCTTCTCCAGCTCTGTCTTCACCTGCACCAAAACAGCAGAGCTTTCAGTGAGCGCACCTGGGTCAAGACCCCTCACCTGCCTACAAAGTAAGTCTTCAACTCCAGAGCTTGGCTGAGGAGACAGATGAGGCTTAGCTTTCTGGGGACTTGCCTCCACCCTGTTCTCCACCAACCCCCCACCCCCCCAAGGCAGCACATCCAAGTCCACTCCAGCCAGCTGCGCTCTAGCTCCCCAGCTCCCCAGGGCGGTGAGTGATATGTTTAGCTGCTTGGTACTCATCCCTCTTTTATTGATACAACAGGGGGGCTTCAAGAATTTATGAAGAAATTCCATAATGTTTTCATTCCATTTTTCCACAAACTTTTTGAAGCCTCCTTGTTTCTCTTAGGGCAGTGCTTCTCAATTTTTTCTCTTTCACTCTTGTCCTTTAAGAAGATTTTAGACATTATTTTACTTAGTCACTCCCACTTCCCCCACGAAATACCGTGGAAGTTCAGTGGTAAAATTCTCGCCTTCCATGTGTTAGACCCAAGTTTGGTACCTCATGCAGCCACCACCTGTCTGTCTGTTAGGAAGGCTTGTGTATTGTTGCAATGCTGAACACTGGAGCTTCCAGACTAAAGACAGACTAGGAAGAAAGGCCTGGTGATCTACTTCTGAAAACCAGTTACTAAAAACTCTGTGGAGGTCTGATTTGCAACAGATTATGGAGATGATGTAGAACCCAGCAGTATTTCCTTCCATTAAGCATGGGGTCACCATGAGTGGGAAACTGACTTAACAACAGCTAACAATAAAACATCTGTGAATGTGCTGTAGCTCCTGTTGAGAATGCATGTCTTAGGGAATCGTCTATCCCACTCACAGTCCTTGAGACTGAGATGTGGCTGTAAGTCCCCAGCCTCTAACAGGCATGATCCTGCCCTGATCAGTCAGTACAGTCCTTGCCCCTGGCTGAACCAAGGGAGAACTGCAGAACGTTTGCTGGTGCTACTGAAGAAGAAGCTGTCTCAATTCCAGGGTGGCTAAGTGGAGAGGATGGAGGAGGCCAAGAGCCATCCTCTGAACCAAAATCTCCACAGGGAAGCAATGCCAAGAGATGAGAAACACGGATTCCTACTGACATGTCACATGCCAGTGTATTGTCTGTCTTCTTTAAGTCACTTGGACCTGCCTTTCTATCCTGATAACAGCAACACCGACTGACACTGTTGGTACTGACTTTCAGATCTTGTGGATGGGAAACTGGAGACTCAGAGAGGTCAAGCAGCTCACTCCGGGTTGCACAGCCGCTAAGGAGCAGAGCCAGGGTTCTAACCCAAACCATCTGACTCCAAAGCCAAGCCCTGCCCACTCTTCAGTGATGCAGGGAGCCTGTGGACCAAGGTCCTGCAGCCCTCAGCCTCCTGTGTGATGGGAGACTTTGAGGCCTGCCAGGAGGAGCTAACCGACCCCAAGTCCCTCAGCTACTCAAAACCAGGCTTCTGTGCATGGTGGCAGACATATCTAGGCTGGCAGGGGGGAAAGTAAGGAATGAGCTAAGCAGGGGTTTATCCTTGAGGGACACTGCCACAGGGTAGAGTTTTAGTTTTCCTTGGACTCTTTGATCCTGAAGAAACACTGAAACATGAATATATGGGCTCAAGCAGCATGGGGAGGGGTGTGCTATACCCGTACCATGGGAGCAGCAGGTACGGAGTGGTCATTTACATACCCAAAACCAGGACTGTTAACATCTCTGTGGGACAATCATTTGTTGACTTAGAGCAGTGGTTCTCAGTCAGGGGGGATTTTGTCCTCAAGAGACATCTGGCATTCTTGGAGACGTTTTAGGGTGTCGTAACTAAGAGGATGCTACTGGCATCTAGTGAGTAGAGGCCAGGGATGCTGCTAAACACCCTACAATGCACATGAAAACCCCCATGAGAAAGAATGATCTGGTGCCCAAAGCCAATGGTGCCAAGCTCAAGTAACCCTGATTTAGATGATGTCCTATGGCCCAAGGTGTTGGAAGCAAATGAAGAAGGAGCTCCAAGTGTGGCTGGGAGATGCTTAAATGGGTAATAGTTTCTTTCTGTTTCATTTTCTCTCTCACATTCACTCTTGTGGGAATTCAAGTTCATTTTCATTGATCAATGTCTTTCACAAAGGTCACATTACCTTAACAGCAATGATTAAATTGGACAATAAAGAGCTTCCATCCATAACATCTTTTCATCCTTTCCTTCCAACCATCTTGAAAAGAAGTTTGTACAAAAGTAGTCAGGAAGGGTAACAGAAAGTCAGGAATACAGATCACAGCAAACACGTACAGTATAGCTTCGAGTAGTCAAAGTGCTTTACATATAAAAACTCACTTAATTGTCACTACAACTCTTTGGGAGTAGGAACTACTAAGAAATGGAAGCAAAGACAGGTTAGAATACCCACTGCCATCAGCTCTATAGGATAGAGTAGAATTGCACCATAGGGTTTCCGAGGCTATGAAATCTTTATGGAAACAGACTGCCACATCTTTCTCCTGTGGAGTGGCTGCTGGGTTGGAACCATAGGTTTTTACATTAGCAGTCCAGTGCTTAACCAATGGTGCCACCAGGACTCCTTCAAAGACAGGTTAAGTAGTAGAAAGAGTATAGAAAGCATGCATGGATTCTGTAAGGTGCCTGAGAAGGTGTGGGTTCCTCAACTACCTAAGGAGCTCTGGGTGGGGGTGGAGGGAGAGGGTGGCCAGTAAGTAAAGCCTGGGCATGCTTTCCTCTGAGTTAGAGTCCTTAATATCAAGTCAAAGTCCTCATTTATTGTTGCTGTTGTTAAGTGCCATCGAGTTGGTTCCAACTCATAGTAACTGTATATAGGGTTTCCAAGGAGCAGCTGGTGGGTGTGAACTGCCAACCTTGTGGTTCATAGTCCAGTGCTGATCCTACAGTGCCACACCAAGAGTCCAATTTACAGATGGGAAAATGGATGCCAGAGACAGACAGCGAGCTTCTCAAGCTCCTAAGTAGCCGAAGCTGGAGTGGAACCCAGTCCACTGTTTTCCTCACCACACAGAGGCTTAGGGAATGTGTGCAGTCATACTGCAGTGAGAATGGAGGTTCCTCCAGGAACCATTCTGCTGTGGGCTGCAAGATCAATTCTGCTCTAGAAGGGAGCTGGGTGTGATAGAGAGGAAGGGAGGACACGGGCTTCTGGCACTCTCGCTAAAGGACCCCAAGTTCCTCTGATAGTTCTCTTGGGAAACCCACACTCCACACCAGGTGCCTAAACACCTCCAAAAGTGTACTTCCTGATAGAGCAGTTGGTGAAAGAAAACATATTGCCCATGAGGAGAAAAAAACAAACAGAAATCATTCAAGACCTGGTGGGGTAAGCCAATACAGCCTACTCTGCTACTGATTGCAATGAAAAACTGGAAAATACAAACAGCAACTATCTGAGAACTGTGACAAACAAAAGCAGGAAACTTGTAGAAGGGACTGGTAGTTCAGGGGGTGAGATTCTCAACCCCTCCCATTTCATTCTTCTGGCTTTGCACCAGTTAGATCTAACTTGTGAAAGTTCCAAAAGACCTCCATCTTTCTGTCCAGAAAGTCAAGGATAGGGCCTGTGTAGGCCAGAGCATATGGGGAGAATCCCAGAGAGAAGAGAACAGAAAAAGGGAAATTCCTAATTCTGTGTATGAAATGAACTGCACAAGTCTCAAATTCACCCTTGAGCTGTGTACAAACCAAAAGCCAAAGTTTTGAAAACCAGCCTGAGACAGGAACTACCGCTCACAGAATATAAGACACAACTTGCAGCCTGCCTCTACAGGTCTGATTGCCTGCTACAAAACCCCAAAACAAAACCCAACACTCTCCAAAAGATGATTACAGGTCCTCGAGTGAGTTGAACATAAAATTCAAGCTGTACTATCCAAAATTAGTCTACATACAAAGAATTGGGAAATGTGATCACTTTTCAAAGAAAGATGCCGCAGATGTTGGAATTACCAGATAAAAAGTTTAAAGCCCATGGTGTGGTGCTGTAGGATGAGCACTGGACTGCTAAAGGTAAGATCGGTGGTTCAAACCCACCAGCCACTCCTTGGAAACCCTATACAGGGTCACCACAAGTCAGAAACCGACTCGATGGCACTTAACTACAACACCTGTGTTCTTAAAATCACAAGACAATGGAGAAAGGTATCAAAGATCTAAATAAATGGAGAGATATACTGTATTCATGGATAGAAGACTCAACTTTGTTCATTTGTCTATTATACTCATGTTGGCTATGGAGTTCAGAAATAAACCTTCATATAGATGGTCAACTGAATTTTTATAAAGGCACAAAAGCAGTTCTGTGGAGAAAGGACAGTCTTTTCAACAAACAGCCAAATAACACTAGGATAATTGGACATTCATAAGCAAAACAAAAATAAGACAGAATACCTTATCCATACCTCATACCTTAAATAAAAATGAACTCAAGCTGTTTACAACTAGATATAAAACCGAAAATGTATGACTTCTAGAAGAAAGTATGTATTCTTGGGTTAAGAAAAGATTTTTTTTAGATACAACATAAAAAACATGATCCCTAAAAGAAAAAAAAAATGGTAAACTGGACTTCACCAAAATTAGGGATTTCTGCTTTATTCAAGAAACTTTTAGGAGACTCAAAAGACAAGTCACAGACGAGAAATAAATATTTGCACAATAGATATTTGACAAAGGACTTATATTCGGAATATAAAAAGAACCATCAAAACTCCGTAATATGAAAAAAAAATCACCAAGTTAAAAAATGGGCAAAGACTTGAACAAAAACTTGTGCAAGCAAATAAGTACAGGAAAGATACTCAACATTGTTAGTCATTCAATTCATCCATCATTCCTCTACCATCAAATAGATTGTTGTTAAATATTGTGGAGTTGGTTCAGGCTCATAGTGATCCTGTATAGTGTTTCTGGTTGGTGGGTCTGAATGGCCAAGCTTTTGTCCTATAGTGCCACACCAGAACTTAGGGAAATGTAAAT